GTGTTACATATTAAATCTATAAGCATTTTATATCAATTCCTAAAAAAGTATTGAAAAAACATAACTGAATAGAAGACATAAAACAAAGAAATCCATAGTCACATATTACTAGTAGGTCCACGAAAGATGGATGGTGAAAGAAGCAAGATGATTTCTTAAAATTATCTGCAATTGTCACTTCAAAAGATTATGCCAATCTAAAAACAAGGCACCAAAGCTATCAAATGTACACACATAAAGCAGAAAACAATGTTGATGTGCAAAAAATAGGGTTTAATCAATTTTAATACAATACTACATAATGTTTCACAGCATAATCACCAACATTTTTCAATTATGTACTACGTCACATGGACATTTAGAAAAGGAATCCAGTCAGACTGTGTATTTTAGTCCTTAAATTCATTCCAGTTAGTTTGAAGATAGTAAGTCACACAGTTATATATCCATTAATTTGTTGTGCTTATGGTGATAATTGGATGGTGAAGACAGACAACAGAAGTAGGTGATGGCTCATTGTATAGACAAACTGACAGCGATGGTGATATGGACAGACACAATGATCACAATATATACAGACACATGTAGTGTCTGTATATAAAAATTGGTAACAACAAAATATATTTTGAAGAGATTTTTGTACTTACATGAACAGCATGTACATATCCATATGTATTAGCAAGGTGTCTGGACAGCTCTGCGTCTTCTCTTAAAAGTTTTACTGCTACAGGTTGCTGTTTGGTCAAGTTCTGTTTGTTTCCATCAACTAACAAAACACAGGTGAGAACACAAAGGTAAAAAAGCAGCTGTAAACATAGTCTAGACCACTCCTTTATATGGGCAGTCATATCTTTGGTCTTATGTCTTGTTATCAATATATTAGTAAAATCCCTGAGGCCACACTTTGCGGCTGTGCAAATGTCTGTCTGTGGAATCTGCTTTAATTCCTGCAGACTTACTGTATTATTTCTGTTCTTTTACATGTAAATGTATATCCAAACTGTAATCCTGTACTCTGTTGTGGCTGGCTATTTTAGACCTCACAGAAGCTGAGATTTATAACTGATAGTCAGTGCTTATCATCAGAAGATTTTTTCCTGAAATAATATCTCCGAGTTCAATTCCTCTGTGCCCTTTGCCAATTGGTGTCTGTTGATTCCAAGTCCTTATGTTCAACCTGTAATATTTATACTATCCTAAGATATCATACATTTGAATACTTCATACACCTTGGGTAGAATAATCCTAATTAGTCTTAGATCAGAAAAGGTTGAAATCTAAAGACCTGCAGAACATCTACTCATTAGGATCTCACTGTCCACTTTTCTGTATTGTGCATTTGAGAGAGCCATAAACCCTAAATATTAATATATACCAATATACATATATTCCTTTCTGGGATTATTTGTAGTTCTGGCAACCATGTGTGCACATTTATTACCATTGTGTTATGTCTCCAGCACATGCATTTGCACGCATTTCCAGGTGGAACCAGGCAAACTGTGCCACAGGTAGAGCTCTGTGGCAACATCCATCAAGCTACAGCACCATTTGTACATTCCTTGTAGTGATCCTGAGGTACCTCTTTCGCCAGCAGACCCATTATCTGTGGAATGGAATACTTTGATGTTCCTGAACTCTCCTATATATGTCCTAAACCACTCTCAAACTGCCACTTGTCCAGTCATTAGTCATGATGAGAACAGGGGGAGGGGGCTGCAGTATTGGGATAAAAATCATATTTTGGGGAAAAAAATAATGATAACACAACTGTCACGGCAGACAAAAAAAGTCATCATGATAAAATTAGCTTAATTCTTAGGATATCAGTACTAATCTTCTCTTACTTTTATGAACAGAGAGAAAATATAAAACATATCCAGTATACTGGTGAACACAGGTAGCATGTGTGTCAGCAATGGATCAGGTTCCAGATGTTATCCTCAGCTGGCCTCTGGTTGTTCCTAGTATTACTTCTAGGAGTGAAAACAGTCGGCACCCAATGCAAATACATTACCTGCTCGATCCCTACCTGTCCACATTATCTCCTTATCACACCTTGTTAAGGAGATTTAGACTGCTCCTTATAACACCCAGGTTTTGTGCTGAGTGCTATTTTTTGCATTCATGTAATTGTACATGTAGTTGAGGGCAAGGTAAAAAGTTTCAGAACTAATACTGTAAACACATAACTATGCTGTACATTTTTTTTTCAAAGGTCATTTGGCATGCAATTTAGTTATGTTCTACAAGATCATTTATCTGTTAAGTGAAATTGCTACGAGAAACATTTTGAACTTCTTTAATACCAGGATATACAGAGTAAGAAGTTGATATCTAGATATATGTTTCATTTTCCCCATTTATATTAACTGATATTACTAATTGGTTTAACAAGAATGCTTGTATGTTTGCATTGGTTCTTAAAAGGTCGACATATGTATGTTCAAACACTATCTCTGCAGGCCCGTAGCCAGGGGGGGGGGTTCGGGGGGTTCGAAAGAACCGCCCCTTTTGCTAAGAAAAGGTCCACTTAGGGTAAAATTTGATCTAGGTATATGAAGTTTTGCTGGAAAAAGGTCCACATTTTCATAAAAAGAACCCCCCTTTTCAAAACCCTGGCTACGGGCCTGCTCTGTATAATTGCCTATCACTCAGCAAACCAGTTCCCAGCAGTATTAACCTGAGAGTGCAATTCCAGCAGTGCCATGTACAGAAGAGGTAAAGGTTGGATTACAGATCACTGCTTAGCATCATTTAATGCATAACATAATACCCCTGGATCAGTGAAAACTTCAGGTGAAACATAAATGTCTGACCTGAGCTGAAGTCTGATAAGGTTATAGATAGAGATCTCGGGCAGGAAAAAAAACTGATACATTGAATTTTGCTAAGATTGTCAATAATTTTCATAATTATATCAAATGCATCAATAATTATATATGATTACCAAGCACCAATGTACTATAGAAAAACAACTAAAAATACTGAACAAAATTATTTTCAAACACAACTTATCTTAATTGTAATAAAATGTGTAAATTGTAAAACTTACAATTGTGCTCTATAGTAAATTTTCACTGAGTCTTGTAAAAAGGAAGATCTTGAATGCCTTTCAGACAGAAGCAGTAGATTAATATTAACTATTTTAAATAACACAACAGAAATCTTAATATATAACACAACAGAAATCTTAATATACACCATCCATTCATACCAAGGCCAGACAGTTGCTCTGAGCAATAGCTATAAACTGGACACATCCTTTCATCCTTTTATGTGGACTCTTTGCATACCCTGGGGCATTCCTTAAGAACATCCAGCACTTCTAAGGTTAGCAAGTGCGCATTGGGAAAATGCCAAGAATTAAAACCCTTTCAAAATTAATATATTACTGCAACATACATGCATTTCATATCTGAATTTTGCATTTATGAGGAACACAAATTTGACATATGAGGATATGTACTCTGCTCATGATGGTATTCTCAGTGCAGGACATCCCACTGGTCACAGATTTAACATATTTGTTTCTGAATGTTCAATTTGAGCTCGCACTAATACTGAACATAATCTAAATTCTAAATATACTCTAATTTCTAATTTGGCAAAAGAAAAAAATTCAATGTAATATTTGACTAAAATTTACCAAAAATATCACCAGTTTGTTAAAAAAATTTATTTAACTTGATTAATTTTATCTCTCAGGGAATGGAGGGCATAATTTAGGCATTCTTTTACTGTATTCAGTATGATGATGCAGATTATGATACACTTCACAAAATTTTTACCTATGTAAAACACTTAATATATCATATTTTATCAATCCTAGCGCCTATGAATTTAAGTGGTGACCGTGTTTATAGAAAATAAAAACCCAAGTTACCAACCAGGTGTACACAGACTGATCATGTTCTATGGCTAAGTGCAGAGTGTGACCTATGATCTCTTCAACACACTCCCAGAGTGTACAAATCAATGCAGAGATGTTAAGAATTTGTAATCCAGATTTCTGAATTTTTGTCATATCTGTGGAGCATGCCATAAATGTTAAAGCACATTTCACAATCAAATCAAATTACTCGAGGGTGAAGAAAAGACATTTCCCAAAAGAGGTGCTTACTGCTGCAGTAAAGAATCAAATTCCGCCCTAACGGGACATTCAGAGATTACAAATTAAGAGGTCTGATTCAGAGGCATATATTTTTAATCTTGGTCTGCTCCTCGGCACACGTTTAGTCATCACTTATAATCACACATTACTTAAAAGTCAAGGTAGATGAAGATAAATAGATATTATTTAATAACAGGCATATATATATATATATATATATATATATATATATATATATATATATATATATATATATATATATATATATATATATATATATATAGTATACTTGATAATAAAGAAAGATTTTCAAATTCATCAGGCTAATCAAAAAAAAAATACACATATACAAATTTAACTTTAACTGAATGAGATTTGTAAAAGTGTGATAATTCATCAACAGATCATCCACTATTAAGTCAATGCATTGTGAGCCAGGACCAGCTTGGGTGTGAGTGTTGTGCACTGTGCAGAACAACTATAAGAGGAGAAGATTGTAATAAATGTGGTAGATAAAACTGTGGTAGATGTGAATAGCTAAAAGAACTGCCTGACAAATGTAGCATTTCATCTACTCTAACTGCGACAGTAATATAAATGCATAGGACTATGTTTTTCAGTTTTTAAAAAATGTAGCATTTAATTTAGCAATGACCAAAATGTCGCTCATTTTTATCATCTTCATTTACATATTAATCTTTTTTCATTTATTCAGTAATTAAGTCATTTAAATGAAAATTAACTCCAAAATAGTGTTCATATTACCCCCTTTTGCATTCATATCACATATTTTGTGCCTTTGACCATGTTTGTCAAATTTAAATTCTTTCTTGTTATCTTTGTAAGAAATTGACTTGAGATGGATGGGAAGAAATCAAATCTTCCAGTTACAAAATTTATTATAAAAATAATGACTGAAATGTACATATATATAAATATAGGTGTAAACATTATACAAATACGGCCATTATGCATGTATAATTGTAAGCACTAGGAAGCAATACAATAGAGACAAGGATCCAGGAAGAGCACTTCGTATATATCCCTGTCACATGATGTTACAATAGACTACTAAGCATATTTTGATCAAAGGGCTTTGTGTAAACCCCTTGTTCTGATTAACATTTATCTGGGACTAAATGTCATTTTCTGAATGAAAAAATGAATATAAAACAGCTTCAAAAACAGAACATAGCAAACAAATTTTATAACAGCTATTGTGTTTCTAGGCTGATTTCAATGGCCTTATTTCTTCTGAAATATCTATTGAAACAAGTCAAACTTTTCTTTGTTTTGAAGAACAGTTATTTCAATTTGCATCTCAGAATCAATCTATTCCACCAAAATACATCCACAAAACACAAAAATATCTGACAAACTTGTCCAGATGCAAATACAGCATTATTGTTCCTTTCAGTGATGTTTCACCATAGGTTTTCAAATGAAGTTCTTGACAAAATATTTATTAGTAAGTGTGTAACAGGTAAGTTAACATTTGACACATCTGCAAAAACATTGGCCTGACATATTGGTGTTAGAAATATTTTTGCACATTGCTGATAATATATGTATACTTCCCTATGTTATTCTCTTGAGATATATTTTTCCAATTTATTGCATTAATTTCAAATCCTGTTCCAACCTTAGTCATCCTAAAAAAAAAGGTTGAGAAATAACCATCATATACATGACAAAAGTTTTATAAGTAAATAAATAGTCAGGTATATGTATATAAAATTAGAAAGAAAAGAACAGGTAAATTATAAGATTTTCCTGGGCAAATGGCAGCAAATGTGTTTCAATGTATTTTAATAGTGAGTATTCAAAATTAATGTTGGTTAGTTTATTCACCAAATTTACTGAGAGAGAGAGAGAGAGAGAGAGAGAGAGAGAGAGAGAGAGAACTCACCCATTCATCATCATCAGCCCCCTGGGTGTCCTCCATTTCCTCATGTTGCTGACTCTTCACTGTCATTATCTTGTCTGTCCAAGAGGTACCCACCACCTCCCCTCCTGCATAATTGGACACCGTGGATTTCAGGGTGTCTAGCTTGGATATACTGCCTGACAACAGTAAACGGTCACCATTCCATAATTTCTGTATGTTTTTATATGTTAACCACAATATCATTGCCAGGATGTGACCCATTATCATTATTATCCAATACTTATCTATCAGTATTTAATCATTAATTTTAATATTTATTCATTTTAACTCTTTTTAATGAAAATGTGGCAGATTATTGTAAAGAATGATTAATTGGAATAAATTTTACTGATTAAAATTAACTTGCAATTAAGTTAGAGCCTGTTTGGTATGAAGACTTACTAATAAAAGGTCCATTCCCCGAGGTTTTAACACGTACATCATCCCCCTCCACCAGCTCCAAATGTTCCACAGCCTGCTCCGTCACCCAGAATGACAGACAGTTCTGTGGTCTGTGACGTGTCACTAAAGCATCCAACTCCTGCTTTGACACTATTTTTGCCACCTCATCAATAGTAAGTCTGTCAGTGTCTCCTTTGGCTTCTACCTCTGTGATAAAGATGACAATAAGGATACATAAACAAGTCTGAGGACAGTTTGTGTTATTCTGAAAGGGAATCTGCATGGCTTAACTTGCTGCCCAGTTTAGTTTAGTTTTTCCTTATTTTTGGTACATATGTTTTGTGTCTTGTGAGGATGGTCATGCAGAATGGGCTTGTGAAAAAATATCTTAACTTCTGCCCTATAACCAACACATAAAATGAAAAAAAGACATTTTCCAGGATTGCACATATATATATATATATATATATATATATATATATATATATATATATATATATATATATATATATATATATATATATATATATATATATATATATATATATATATATATATATGTCAATTTTCTTACTGTAAGAAGAGTTCAGAAATCCAGTATTCACTTTCTTGGTCTCACTGAAATTTGGTTCAATTTCCTTTCCTGACCTGTCAAACTGGCGTCTGTGGGCTCTACTCACACTGATGTGAAACACAAAATACCTGGTCTGAAATTGTAGAGTGAAACCTTACTTAACATCAAAAACTGCTCTAGATATGGTTGTTTATGTCTATATAGAGAGGCATTTTGAATAACCCAATGATTAAGTAAAATAAGAAATGGGGGTAACAATAATTTGGTATTTGTGTTAAAAAAATCATGCCCTACAAGTATAAGCTTGGATTGTGTGTTCTCCTCATTGGTCAACCCTGAACATTTTAGGTATAAAAGTGAAAGTTTTGATATTATCAAATCAAACACTTGATTGACAGACACTGGGATCTGTCAGAAGTCACAAAGACAGGCATGGCATTTTTTCACTAAAGATTATAATTTTTCTTGCGTATCATAAGTAATAAAGGTAGTGTTCACTGTTACAGAATTTTCAGCATTTATTACAAGCATCACATTCCTAAAATATCCCAAATTTCATTACAATATCTTCAAAACTGTTGAAGTTTTCGAACTTTGAAATAAGTAACATTTTTTTTTTATCCACACCAGAGCAACAACAGTAAAAAGGATCCTAGGATCCCTAAAAGGTGGTGCTGTCCCTGGACAATTCTATTTTTTTTCCACATAAAGAATAATATAATCCTTTTATATTGCTGTGCATGAGGGCAGAGTTTTTATTAATTTATTAAATTTATATTTAGTATCAATATTCAATATCCAGACAATGACATAGACCCCCCATGGAGGTGGTGTCCCTGTGAGTGAGCTAGTCTTGACAGAGAGCTAATTGAGGAGATGCGCAACAGGTACCCGTCTACAACATCTAGTTTAATTACTGTGTTCTATATCTGTGATGACAGAGGCAAACTCTCCAACCTTTTCTGACTTGACATCTGTTATGACATGCCTTGACCTGGCTTGTATAGTGCCCTCCAACAGAATTCCCTGGCCTCTGGATAATAAATACGTACAGTGTTTTAGAAGAATCATACTAATTAAGTTATTATTCATATAAACAGATAAAATAGTATGTTCTAAATGTAAAGAGCTTCACGCTCAACTGTCACCCTGATTTGTTAACAAACCTGGTAAATGCAATTGGACTAGTACTTAGTATATGCATTATTGGGAATCCATGCTTGCTTTATACTAAGATCTAATAAACGGATATATTAGATCTTAGCTTTATATTCAATAAGTCAGATACTGGGGGACTTGCCGGGTTGTGTTATGTAGCCAGTCGTGTTTAAAGATCAAAATATACTACAATGAATCACATTTGATTGATATGTGACAACTTACCAGTTAAATTGTTTTGGTATTTCACTACACAGATAGACGAGTGTTGAGTTTTCATTGCATCAGGGAAACGTTCGGTAACTAGGGTATAGGCACTAGTATATAGTATGCAGTAATGAACAAGTGTTTTCTGTAGTCAATCTCGGCATTGTAGAATAAGAGCATTATTATATGTACTTATATGATATTTGAAAAAAATAGAGGACTCTGGTTCTTTTCACTCTGCCACACTTGAAATTAGAATGAATTTACCCTAAATCTATGCAAGAAACCCATAGGATCTGTTATTCTACATTCTATATATAGAGCCTACTGTAAGTACAAATTGCCAAGATGTCCTTGACAAACAGAATTGCAACTACTTTCTCAATAAATTCATGTTTACGTCAACAACATTATTATTTATTGTACAGGTACATGTACATGTATTTCTACTTGAGGCCAGCTGTAACGAATAATGAAGTTATTGCCCTTGTTGCTTACCTGTTCACTTATCAATCCAGTACTCTATTCACTTGTTAATTCTACTGAGACTGACAGTGATGATGCAGGGGTCATATATAATTACATACATGTACCTGGGTTTGTTCATTGAGAAGTTTATTCTTGTAAAGTCGAGCAAAAGCAATGTCCTCACTGAGTGGATTAACTTTAACTTACTCTTGATATTGCCTCGGTTCCCAAGTCCCACCCAAATTGTGATTTTGTACTGGCAAAGATTGCAGCGGTTTATTATCGTAGATCCGACTCATACCTTTTCCCGTGAACTATATGTACAAAGCGAGGTTGGTGTGGCGAGGCCTTTTCCTCTTTTCCTTTCGTTCTCTCCAAGACAAGCCTGTGTCCCTTACATCATATTCTTATTATGCCCATTTTGTTTATTCATATTGATGCAATCGGTCATATAGGCTTAATGCAAAAGTGTTTTTTCTATTGTTGTATCAGATTTATTCATCGCAATATATTTGAATCACACTTTTTGTTTTTTCGGAACGTTGTAAGCAACATGACCAACCTTGACCTTAAAATGTCGACTGCTGCGTTAGGCAGACGTGCTTTACAAGTTTACCGTGTTGTGGCGGCGAACGAAATATTGGGTTGCCGTTGTTTAACGTACTCTTTATATCGAAGTTTCAGCCAAACAAGTACACTAAGAAAGGTAGTCGTATAGCTGTGGAAGTTTATACAATATACTAACGTTAGTACTACATAGACTGTTGCTTGCCAGTAAATTTACATACTATTATTATTAAGACTATTGCCACAGCATGCCATGCATTATGTGAATATGACCTCAGAGTCAATCACCACTTGCATCTTAAAATGCCTGAAAATGTAATCAAAGTTTTTTTTTTTTTGTCTTGAGCACTCTTATTCACGTTTTCTGAATAAACAGATTAACACACACACACATTATCTATCTATCTATCTATCTATCTATCTATCTATATATATATCTATCTATCTATCTATCTATCTATATATATATATATATATATATATATATATATATATATATATATATATATATATATATATATCCCATTTTATTTTATTTTATTATATCTGACAGCTTGTGAAACTGTTTAACAGAACCCCAATTACCTCTCATCGTCTCACCTTGCACACTCCTTTAAAGCCAACTAGTTTTTCTGTCCATTCTTTAATGGATATGTTACTTAACAGTCCCCTATAGTATAACCGGTACACAGCAAGATTATCTAATCTTACCAGAGGCTCTGTCAACAGGAAAACTTGTTGGCTTTACAGGAGTTTACAGATTGAGATTTGAGAACTCCCATATATAACAGTAGATGTGCAGGCTGGTTGTCATTTTACAGTTTTTAGGCTATTTGCTTTCATTAGATAGCAGAGCCAGTAAATACCAGAAAGTTAGTACAAAAAACTGTAAAACTTAGCCCAAAACTGACATAGTGCTAACACTCTGTGTCTGTAGCTGCAAAAATATGTATGTTGAAAAAATAGGTACATTTCATATGTGTACAAGTATTCTAATGATGACTGCCAAATAAAATGAAACTCCAGAATTACTGTAAGAATTGACACCAAGATAATTATTTAAAATTTATTTTAACACAAATTGGAGAGTTGTAATATGATGATAGGGTAGGGTATACTTTTGAAGGTAAACTTTTGATGACACCAGTCTTCTCTTGTGTCTCCATTGTGAAGCTCATCAGATTATCTAGGCCTCAGCTATAATGCTTCATTCATGAGGAACTTTCAAGACTTTATGAGACCCTGGTAGCCATACAGGGTTGGAAACTGGTAATCTGAATGAGTTCATCCAAAATAATAGCACAAAACTCAAGAAATTTTTATGTAAAGACACAGATGTGTCTGCACATATTGCCATCACCTGCATCTGTTGTCGCTGTCGCTGGCACTTTCATTGTAAACACGATAAGTGGAAGGCAGTTTTACTTTTTGGCTTTTTTGGATCTTTATTTTCTTTTTTTTTTTTATATAATTATTATTATTTGGATATGGTAAACCTTAATAAATTGGTGGATGAAAAATTGTTGAAGTTTCTAGGAAAATTCTTTTCCTTTTTTTTTTCTTTTTGCTATATAAGTCTATTACCATTTTTTTTTTTTTTTTGTCTTTAAAATCATTCTCATGCCACCCCCTTTTTTTATTACTCTAAAAAAATTTCTGCTTTTCTATGTTTATTGATCACTAGACGTACCTATTTTGGCAGACTAACATATTTTCATATGACACATGACTGCCAATTTAAAAATAAAATGAAGTGTACGAATGCACTTAAACACTATTCAGTATTGTTTTCCAGAATCAAAGGGGTAAAGGCTCACCTGGTCACCACAGAGTAGCCACGTCCAAGGTGCCAGATACAGGCTATGATTGGATAGGTCCTCCTAACAAAGACTCCAACCTTCGACCTGTTAAGTTCCACATATGCAAGGATGAAACTCCCACAGAAAGAAATTACAGAGAAAGGAGACAAGAGTTGCAGAAGTGGAACCAGAACTTCTGGGCAGAGCATAACACAAGTTTTTATGGGGTTTGTGGTCTATTATATATTATTATATGTAGTAGAAAAAGTAAAGCTTGATAACCTCAAAAAGCAAGATCAGATGGATTTACAATTTACACCTGGTCTTTACTGTTCTGTTCAAGTCTGAAATGATCCCCCCCCCCCCCCATGCATATGGCCAGAAAAAAACTTCAGATCATTACAAGAGGGCTGAGATGTTATCTTGAAAGTTTTTTCAAGTTGGATGCCTAACAAGTGTAGGCACTGAAGGTCACCCCTGATAAGATTTCAATGTGATAAGTGACAACTTTTGTCTCTTAGATACAACTTACTATCTAATATTTTTTTAAAGAATATCATGAAAGATGAATCCTGAGAAAATTCAGTGAATATGATAATTTTCAGGCCAGAGAAAGATTTGTAAAAGAAAAATTAGCTGAAATTGGGCCCACCTTACCAGATGGAACTCCAAGAAAGCTTACCACTTCAGAGATGTCAGAGTTCTATAGATGTTTTCTTAATGAAAACTACAGGAGACATGTTGAATATAACAAGTAGGTTTTTGTTCTATAAAATTTGGTTGAATGCTTTTTAGTATCAGAAACGGGTTATTTTATCTGAGAATTGCCATCATTTGTATAAACCATTCAAACAATAAGTTTATTTTCACCATGAAATTGCATATTAGAAAATAAATCATGAAATTAGTAACTTGATGAATATATATAGTCCCAAGAAAAGTTTATGAAGATAAGGCATCCTTTTGAGATAATATACACATTTTGGAAAAACTGTTGTGGACTATGTTTGTAGTCCTTGTTTGTGCTTTAGAGAAGGGAGGAGCTTTTGGGTATACTAGTACTGCTGTTTTACCAAGTTCATAAATGATTGCTGACATTTTCAGAAACCATGCCTTATTAAATTTTATTAATTGTGGTGCTTACTTCTTTCAGAGAGTGGTATAAGAGAAATATCTCACTTCTATGGCCAGCAGTCAAAGTGAATATAGAAAGGCTGTTATGGAAAAAGAAAGCTAAAGAGACATCCTGATCAGCAGAGGGAGTTGCTGTCACATTTAAAAATTGGACAAAAACAGCAGGAAGACAGAGAAACAGTCCCCCCAGTGCCCTTTTAAAACCCTAAATTTTTAGGAATCCTATGAAGGTCCCTTTATTTCAGTGAGATTCCTGTAATTCTTGAAGTTTTCAATTTTTTAAGGTAATTGAAGTCAGGCCATTGATGTCCTTTTCTGAGGGATGTTAAGAATTTATAGACCTGCTGATAAAATATAAATGGATCTTTTTGGAACAACACAATGATTTAAAGAAGCTTGTAGATAAAGAGTTGCATAAGCTAGTATTGCTTGTGATTAGTAATCTTTTTGGCGTGATATTTTGGAATTTTGTCAGAAAAATATTTTAAATCATATCAAGATGAAAGGTAAGCACTTTTGTCCAAGGGTTGGAAGCTGCCCAATATTTAAATGCAAAAAGGAAAATAATTAAATTATTTACATGTGCATCAATTTGTTAAATAGGGAAGTAAGGCATTAGTCATAGACTCATAGTGTAGTTCACATTTTATTTCTGCTATTTATATGAAAATGTTATATATCTTTTGAGCTAGATGCATGTGCAATGACATTGATATGAGCTATAAAAGAAGTGCACACTTTTTATCCCAACCTGTGTTCAGTGTACTAGAAATGCATTGATTGTATATTGTGTCATCAATGACATTTAAATAAATCGACAAAAAAGTAATTTATATAAAGTAATGTATATTTAAAGTGTAAAATTTAAGTTAAACAGTTTGTATATTTTGTCTTAAGCAGACACTGGGATTTGAGTGCTTTTTTTCATAAGTACTAGTATATTGAAGGATATCTTTATGACACGTGTCACTTAAATTATTCATTCTTCATCATAAAAAGTATAATCATAAAAATCATAAAAAGATCTTTTCTTAAATAAACAACTCCCATCTGCACTTGTGTGATATATAACATATAGATTTTTCAATGATAATTCCTACCTAAACTAAAAAGTAGCACATTTTCAATGATAAGTAATTAAGAATAATAAGAATAATATGATCATATAAAATCATCACTTTTGAATAAATCTATTTATATCACAGATAATCTTTCTAAAGGCATCAAATTTAAAGAAATGGGATTTATGTATCAGAACAAAAACACTTTTTTTTTTGCAATCCAAAATGTCAGAAACTTAATAAATGGCAGTTAAAATTGATCACCTTACAAAATATTTAAATTTGTTAAATTACCATATTCCATTTTAAAATGTATTGTAATGATAAATTATTTCTCCATATTGTATGAAGTTCATATTCGCTAGGTAACAATTTTTCCAGGGATTGGAAATATTTTTTTTTAGTTTGTCATTGCCTTTGAACCCTTTTTGTGCTAATATGGTCCAAGTTTGTACAATCATGTTTTATTAACTAGGGCTCTCTTTTAAAACCAAATACTTTTCAACCTCTGCAGCCACATCAAGTCTCTCTAGCTCTATCATGAGTCTGTGGAATTCTTGGAGAGTTTTGTTCTGTTTCTCCCACATGCGTAGGATCTGACCCGTGGGACTGGACACCCCAATTCTGGACTCCAGCCAGACAATGGTGGGATAGTCTAAGCCCATTCTACTGGCTACCATATGCCAGTCTTGGCCAAGGGGAGTGGACGGGTCAAGAGCAATGACCAGCTTGGAACGAAGAGCATGTGGGAAAACTGAGTAAGTCTTCAATGAAGTGGAGGTTAAATCGGCTGTATCAAGCTGAAATACACAGTAAAGGGTAATTATTATCAGAGTAGAAATCTTTGAAGATAATTATTCCTACAGGATTTTTTAAACATTGACATTTTACATGTGTACTATATTATTACCTACGCCAAAGTGGTTTTGTTCACACACACACACCCACACACAC